TCCTCCTCCTGCTGCTGCTCCGCTTCGTTCCGCGGGCGGGCGGAGCGGCCTGCGGCGCCAGTTACCGCCGCGGGGCAGGGAAGCGGAGCGGGGAGAAGCGGCGCCTCCCCCGTGGGAAACGGGACAGCGTTTCCTGGCAACGGCCGCTGCCCGCGGGGAACGGGGTGGAGGGGGGGGTGTTGTGTGAGCTCCCCAAACGGCGGGATGGGCGGGCGGGTTTAGCAGCCGCTGCCCGCGGCGAGCGCGGGGCTGCAGAGCCCCGGGGGGGGCGGGGGGAAGCGGCCGCGGGGCTCGCGGGGCCTCGTGGCCGCGTTTTGTTTCGCGGCGCCTTTCGCGGGAGCTGCCGGCCGCGCTGCAAGGGGCGGGGAGGAGGGAACAAAAACTCGGTGTTGTGACACTGGGGCAGGAAATGAAGGACTGCAAGTGAGGGCCCTTGCTGGGCGAATGGGAATGATTCTTCTATTTATTTATTTATTATGTATTTTTCTTGAACTGCAACATTAAAAGGGTAGAACGAAAGGGAGATGAGGCGTAAATATCGCTAAAATATTTTGTAACAACAAAACTTTTTTTTCTTATTTTTTATTGTCTTTGGTCGTTTTGGGGCCGCTGCCCAACCTGTTGGATCAAACTTTTATCACACACAGGGAAGCTTTCTGTGTAACTTAAACATGTTTCCTRGTGTTCAGCATTAGGTTGTTATTGATGTTAAAAGGGAGAGATGGCACAAAATTGGTTGCAAGTTGTTCTGATCTAGGATAAGAACAGATTTTTCTAATGAGGCAGAGCTGAGGATGATGGCCTGTTACTGTTATATTGCTACCTAAAAGAGGCTTCCTGACCTTGTTCAATATGTTAGTTGGCTCCAGTCTTGCAGCTGGGTTTGTGTTGGAAGATCCTGGTTCTGCGCAGATCCAGAAGGCCTATCCAGGAGAGCAGACAGCAGGATTGGGTGCTTGTATCCTACTTACTCATAGTGTAGCTGCTGTCACTGCTGGACAAGTCTCTATTTTGCTGTTTTATGCGTATTTGGAAGTTTTCTCAAGAAGATACTCTGTTTGCATTCAGTAGGAAATAGTCGAGACTGAGTAAGTCTCGAAGGGTGAGAGAGAATATTATTTTTACAATAGTATTTAGCTGTAGGGAAAGCTTAACTTGCCATGGGAGGTGACAAAAAAAGCGTGAATCTCTAGTTCTGAGGCGATAATTTGGAAAGTTGTTGGGGTCAGCGGGTTTTCTAGGCAGGTTGTAGCTACATTGCCTTGTAGCTGCCTATGCCAGGGCTATAAGGATGCATAGGAAGCCAGAGTACAACCAGACTGGAGGTTTGTCGCCTCCAGAGTTTCACTGTGGGGTCCTGTTTCCTGAGGAACAGAACAACTRTCTTAGAAACTCACCTGCAGTAAAAGGATGTTTCCTCCTTCTCTTTTTGTTCATTTTGTGCATTCTTTTAAAAATTTCAGACTGTAGTTTGGCAAACTTATTTGAGCAATGGTGACAGCTACCCCTTCAGTTGAGTTGTTGGAACAATTTGTGGGGTCAGCTGATGAGCAGTTTTGGGGAAAGGTTAAAAATAACCATCAGAAGGTGCTTATGCTGACTCTGTGTGAAAGACGGGCTTGTTCGCCTCCTTTGGCATTAATGTAACCATTGTTAGATATTCTCTATTTGACTTCATTGCTAGGAGTTTCTCACATCAAAGGTAGCCAAAGGCTTAAAATAATACTGTGTTTATGTACTCTATCCCAAGTGCTTTTGCTTTCCTTGAAGATGATGGTGGTGTTAGTTGGACTTGGATTTTATTTATTTATTTATTTATTTATTTATTGAGTACGGGAAGAACTGGCTTTTTTTAGATTGTAAGATTTCAGTGTAGGGCGTATTATTTATATAGTGTCTAAAATAGTATTGCCTTGCTCCTAATTGGGGAGATATGGGTAGTACTTCATTGAAGAACTTAAGTATTCACCCATTTCTTCAGAGTAATTCTTATTTTGATGTGGGAGATTTTCTAGTTTCAGTGTAGAACGCATCATTTTCGGCATCAGATATCCTTGAGATTAGATTTTGTTGGCTTTATTCTCCTTACCCCACTTCACCTAGCTAACTAGTGTCGTCTTTGTGTTTCTCGGGTTACTGCACTTGCACAGTATCCCTGAGATCTATGTTTTATGTAGAGAACAAGCTTAATTTTATTTCACCAAGGAAATTTATAATAGAAACTCTTGCAAATTGTATTTAAGATTTTCTCTGTATCACTAGAGTTACTGTGATGTCAGAGAACTTGAAATGTAAGTTAGGTAGTTTCTTGCTCCCGAGAAAGCTGAATAAAATAAATGTTCCACGTATGGAAAAGTAAATGATATTATTCTCTACTTTGGCAGCTGAAAACATGCTTTTAAAAATGAGATTTAAGCCGTCACACTTCCAAGGCTCAGATAAGAAAATCTCTGAGCAAAATTAACCAATGAAACATAAGTTGAGCTTAATAATAACAACTTAGAAATTTGGCAGACCCAGAACTGGGAGGAACGTGATGTTCAGCTTCTGCCCTGTCCCTCTGTTCTGCTAGTGTCACTGCTAAACTTGGCGTAGTTACAGGCAGACATGCATGGCAGCAGCCTTGCAGCTTGGCTGCTCAAGAAGTCGTGGTTAAAAGCGTGGAGGCAGTTCTTTCATTCTAGAAGCAGGAGCGAGAAGTGCGGGAATTCCAGTTTTCAGCAATAACGTTGGCTCRGGGGGACAGGGAGGGTGCCTCAAACCCCAGATGAGAAGGGAAGGCTGGGAGAGAGGAGTATCAAGGTGTTGGCCAGGACTTCTTTATTCTACCCAGTCAGATTACTTGGTTACATGTTTTCTTAAAATAATTTTAAAAAATCATATTCTTCAAATATTTTTATATAAGGTGCTTTGTAAATCAGGTAACTTYCATACTTCTGTAGAAGTGCTTCCTGTGAGTTTAGATTTCTTTGAGGCCTCAAGAAAGGCAGCAGCACTTATTTTTCCTGGAATGTTTCCTTTTTTTTGTCCTTACAGATTGTGACTTTAAAATGTGAAGCCTAAGGTGTGAGTTGAAGGAGATTTAAGTTCACTCAGGGTCTGGAAAGCAGTGTCTAAATCAACTTTTTCACCTGCCAGCCTAGTGGTTCTACAGAACTATTGTTTTATCCATTAGTATTGAACAGTATTGTTGCATTGCAAGAGGCTATTGTATTTGTGTTACTAAATAAGAATGGGCTTATTGTATTTGAATTTTTGACTCGTACTCAGATTCTTAGTGAGTGTCAGTAGTATTTGAAGTCTTCAACATTTGGCTGAAATAGCAGGCAATGGGCTGCATTTGTTAGAACAGGTAGCATAGCAGTAGATTAAGAGTGGCTTTCTGAGTATTTGCTATATCCTGAAATACTCTGGATTTCTGTAACAAATTGTGTCCTCTTTTAACTTAGTGTCACAAAATATAGTGTAGCAATTGCTTATCGTTAAAATGGCATTTTAAGTAAAAAAAAAAAAAAAAAAACCCTTCCTGCCTAAATATCTGTTTGTCCTTTGAACTTTCAGACTGTGGTTAATATAAATGAGGGTACATTACCTCAATACTGTAATTTTTTCCCATATTAAAATCTATGCAAGAAGGTGGCATTTCTAACCAACATGTGTTAGGTCTGATGAAAACTTCCTGCTTGACAGTTTCACAACATATTAGTGTTCTGATTTTCTTTTAGGTCTTATTTTCCTATATTTTAACCATCTCTTCCTCTGATGTGAAAGACTCGTCTCCTAGAATCTGTTTAAGGCAATATTAATAATTAAGCGTTGTGTGGGGACATTGTGACATGACATTAGGCTTTCCTTAGGGGTTAGGTAGCATTTCCAGAGTATCGTGCCTGATTGGCATTCATCTTTCAGGATGAGTAGATTAAGGATACCCATAGAAATGTGGTGAGTACTGGGAGAAAATTCTGCTCGGAGGTATCTGGTTTTCCTAGCAGAGAAGTGCTCCTGGCTTCCAGTAAGTGAACTCAGTGGGAGCCAGGAGCCAGAGCCAGGACTGAAAGTAAATGCTGCCCTCAGGATGCCCAGGCTATTCACAGTCTGCCCGTGGGCTCTCTCTGGATCCAGTGCCATAAATCACTAACCCAGGCTCTAGTAGGCCATTTAAAAAAAAAAAAAAAAAAAAAACCACAGATGGCATAAGTCATTTTTAAAAGTCATTTTTAAGTTTCAGGATACATGCAATTTTTGATTTAAAGGAAAAAAATCTGGAATGCTAATTGCATTGATTCTCTTTCTTTCTTTTTTTTTTTCTCCTGCTTTGCCTCCCTAGTATCAACACTGTGTACCTGCAAAACAGCCTTTGATTTTATGTCTATATCTTCTCCCTTTCCTTCTTTATCTCTTTTCCCTGTTATCACCTGTCTCCCCTTTCCTTCTACTGGACAAGCCTATTCATATGGAATAATTTTTTGGAGGGATCCAACTACAAAGTAAAATAGACTGACAGCAGTTGATCCCATACATAAGGCACATCTGCCTGGTGGTTTCCCCTTCTGTATCGTAATTGTTGAAATTCTCTCAGTCAGTTATTGTCAAAGATGCACCTGGAGGAAATCCTTGATTACAAGCTCCGATGTGATCTGTAAGAAGTCAGTATTAAAATACTTAGAAATAACGTTAACAACATTCACTTTGGACCTTGYGTATTTTTGATAAATAATACAAGGCCAAAATACTTCAAAGTGATCTATATACAAGGCTATAATGCATAGGTACTTGATGCATAGTCTCCATTCTTTTGTGGCAGTCACCTTGTGGAGAGTAGCATATATCTGGCTCTTTTTCTTTGATTTTGCTCTTTGCTTTCTGCTGTGTTCATTTTGGATGAAATGATACTTAAATTTCAGATACGTGGATGAAAAACAGTCGGGGCTGTTATTGTTTCTATTTCCTAGCATGTGGTCTCTCTGAGCTGCCTGTCAGATACACTTGTTTGACAGCAAAGAACTTCATTTAAAAGCATTCCCTCGGCATAAAGCTAAGATTTTTACATTCTTCTACAAAGAAAATAACTTGAAAAACGTTGTAATAAACTGCAATGTGTTGATATAGTTCCTTTTTACTCTATACCAATATTCCTTCCCCTGCTTTCTCCTTCCCTTTTCTGAGATAAATCTCAATTTTTGAAATGTCATCTCTCTTGTCATGRGTGCAGTGACAGAGGCGCTGTGAGGCGCCCTTGGCATGGGCCCCAGTTCCTGTGGGCAGTGCAGGAGGGTCAGAGAGGACCCCATGGCTTGAKGGAGGCTGCTGCTGCTACTGGGACAATTGATGTTTGGAGAGATGGGCCTAGAGTGTCAGGTGAAGGAGGCAAAGCTGTTTGGGCAGCTTTATGCAGGCTGCAGTTTCACTGCTGTTAGTTGCAAAGGTGGTCATCCATTGTAACCCAAACATCAGACCGTTCAAAAAYATCAGCCTAAACAACGAGAGAAATAATTTTCCCTATGTGCTTAACAACGATCTCAAATGAGTTGAGGAAAGATTATGCACTGGAGTCATGGAAATAGCATTAGTAATCATTGTTGTTTCCTAATATAGCAGATAAGATCTGTAACAAATTTAACCTGTAAATCTAATTGTTATATATAAATGCTTTATTTCTGGCAACATGGCTTTCAACAAATAACCTTCTGTTTCCTAACATACAGGATGCAAGACATCCCCCTTTTCCCCTAGCTGACTTAAATGAGTCAGAATAGAGTCACTTCTGCTCCTCATTTCATTTAAGGCACTGATATATGCAACGAGAGTATTAATAGACAGTTTTCTGCTGGTATGTTTAATTTTCTCCTTCTCCTTCTCAGGATGTGATCTTCATGGTGTGCTGGTGGGAAAGCTGAGTTGTAAATCACCCCAATGGATGCGGACAGTGATGTTGCCTTGGACATTTTAATCACAAACGTAGTGTGTGTTTTTAGAACAAGATGTCATTTAAACTTGAGGAAGATTGCATTAGAGGGAGCAAATGTGATATACAAGCGTGATGTTGGGGTAAGAGATTCAATATACCTCCAATATCTATTTTTACAAATGTCCTTAAGCTAAGTGTTGTTGCACCTTTGGATAGAGAAGAGAATGGCWGTATTTCTGTCCTGCTAGGCGTTTTGACTGTCGTTATGTACTGCGTCTACAGTAGGGCAGAGGGGCAACTTGCCTCAGAAGGCTGCAGGAAGCTATTAGTTTAGGTCTGTGCAGCTCCTGGGGTGAAATATTGGATATACAGTGAGACTTGTTATACCTCAAGGTCTGTCCTTCCTTCCAGAGTTTGATGTTTGTCAGGACAATATGTTCTGATATGAAAAAAGAAGACATTTTTATAACACCTGGATGCAAGTGTGCTTGTAGCTGATAGCAAATTGAGAAAACAGGAATTTGCTGGATTCAGTCAGTTAGCCTCCTTTCACAAGGAGGGAAATGATTTGTGAAAGGAATWGTTTAATCCTGTCATATATGAACAGCAGTGTGTTGGAATTAAAACATCTTTTACATGGCAAGCAAGTAAATGCTAAGCAGAATGTGTTCTGAGCTTAGGTTAAATAAAGGTTAGAGGGTGATCTCAGATCCACTAAAGGTGGTAAATGGAAAGTTTCCTACTACTGGGGACAAGAGGAAAAACACTGTGAAGGTGCATACTCTAAATTTATGGGAAAGCTTTAGCAAGTGGATGAAGAGATCCCTCACCTGCCTTTCCTAACTTGTGAGATAGTGCAGTCCTGCAGAGGGAGAGAACCACAGGACTGGACTGCAAAGGTGGCATGAGCCCTTCTAAGCTCCCCAAAACACCCCTCGTGCCTGTCCAGCGGGGTCACAGAGCAGGAGAGGGGCTGCAGGTCTGTCACAGGCAGAGATGGTTGAGGGAGGAGGCACCTGGATGAATGCCAGCAGATCTTTGGAAGATCTGCATCCAAATTATTTGTAAACAAGATAGCAGCCTTTCAGGAAAGGAGTCAGTAGCACAATGTGCATGGCTTTCAACTTTTAATTCACCTCCATATTTCATCTCTTCTGTGAACCCTGAATCACTGGCTAAAATATTCCAGATTACTTTGCTTTTATCCACAGCTGACTTTATTTTTATTTATTTATTTTTAATTTCTGAAAATGTGAAAGAACAGTTCAAGACTATCAAACCTTACAGAAGGTAGTATTAGTATAGATTTTTTTTTTCCCAGTATGAAAATGAACTAACACTGATTTTTCAATTCTTCCTTTTTCTTTATTTTTTCTTTTTAGAAAGTATTAATGAAGCTTAGAAAACCTCGGATTACGGCCACAATTTGGTCCTCAGGAAAAGTTATTTGCACAGGAGCCACAAGGTGAGTTCATGAAGAGCTTCTGTGTAGCTGAGTATCTTGCAGGTTTTCAGTATGTAGGGGATGAAAAGAGAGCAGGCGGCAGTACTTGCTGCAGCTGAGGTTGCCTCGTGCTGGCTCACACAGACCCCTGCCAAGTTTGCCTGAGAGTTTCCTGTGCTAAGTGTCTGCCTTGAACTAACTTGAAATCTTGAGAAACAGCAGTTTAACCTTCTGGGAAAACTACTTTATGAAGAAAATTCTGAAAATTTTTCTTTTCTTTAGAAGATTCTTGAATTCATTTTGGTTTTGTCTGGAACTTGAAACTTGGGAAGGGATGATTTAATTCAAGGGGTAATCTCTATTATCTGATGAAAATCTGCCTGAATTTAATCAAGTTATATCTGGTGAGGGACTAGGAAGAAGCAAAGGCAAATTTTCAGCTCAGATATGTCCACCTGAGGCTTGCTTACCTCTAATAGCTAAGAGTTGTCCCCATTGTGGCATAATGGTAGTGGGGGGAGTCTGCACACCTTCTGTGTATGATCTCTGCCTCAAAATGGAATGTGTTAGTCGGTGTCAGCACCTACATGATAGTTTTCTCTTTTTACCTGTGACCCTGCACGCTGGTTACTGCACCCTGGGAGCTTTTTTCCTAAGCTGATTTGATATTTTCCACTGCTACGAATGTGTCACAAACATTACCTTCTTTTCTAATCCTCCAGGGCCATTAACAAACTCATTTTTAAGAAGAGTAGGTTGAAGAGTGACCATTAGTTCAGAGTAGTCAACTGCAGATTCCCTGTGTTCATATTTGTATTGGATTGTTATTTAGTATCATGTGTTATGTGTGTTATTGTACAGTTCCCACTTCAGCTCCCACGAATTTAAGTTGGAGATGCAAGTGCAAAGATATTCTTTAAATAGAATAAGGATGGCTATTTCAATACCTAGATAGTGGAAAAGTATGCCATAATGTATACAGCAGGATGAAATATAGGCTGTTTCTGTGCATGTAGTTCGTGTATTACATAATTGAGTGTTTATTATCATATGTGTACACACAAATGCTTATTGTGCTTTTGGTAACACTGGACTTTTGTCTGTCTGTCTTTATAGTGAAGAAGAAGCTAAATTTGGTGCCAGACGATTAGCTCGCAGTCTACAGAAACTAGGTTTTCAGGTAATTGTAATGGAAAAGGGCACTCATGACTCAAGTAATGCTAGCCAGTTTTGCAGAAAGAAACAAAGAGGAGGGAGCATAGCAATTTAGCAGCCAGCATGTCTTCACTCTGCTCCTCCTTTTGTGGCAATGTACAGTCACTGATACTGGTCGGAGAGACTATTTCATTTCATGGATTTGGGTTTTGTTTGGCAGTTCAGAATAGTGCTCCTTTACTAGCTAATCAACAGCAATATTCATTATGTAAATGAGTCACTGGCAAATGCATCTCAAATAGAATTTGCAATACCTTGAAGATTAATCTGGGAGTGGAGCTGGAGAGCAAAACCTGTTAGCTGAACACARTTTCCCCTAACTGTTTCTGGTGGAATAACAGAGCGCTGTGCTGCTTCATTGGGGCAAGCTTGAGCCTCTTAATGAAGTGGAAAGAAAATGCTTATGTGTTCTCAGGCTATGCACCAGCAAGCAAGCCAAATAAACTACAAATGATGTGGAACTCTTCTTTTTCTGAGCTTAGGTTGACATTAGCAGTCAAAAACCCCTACTTGCTTGGACTTCATACTAAGGATTGAAAAACATGAAGGCGTGCTAAGACATGTAATTTTAGAACATCTTGGTTTTGAAACCCATTGTGCTTATCACAGGATAATTAAGTAGAGACGGTGGCTGTCCTTTTTGAAAAATAAAAAACAAAGCAGTAAAAAACAAAGCACCAAAAAAAAAAGCACAAAGTGGGAATGTTTGATTATCTTCCCTAGAGGTAAGGGTGACTCACTGCTCCCTTTGCCTTATAGCAAACTGAGCCACTTGTTGCAAATTTACCCGTTAGATCCACTGTGGAGGGAACATCCTTTGGAGTGGAGGGTACAAGCTGTGAGCTTCAGGGTAGAAGGACAGAATTCTAACTTTATAATGAAGTGATCACTTTAGCTGGACCGTATTTCAAGGAGTATACTGATAGTTCATCCTTTATATGGATTTGATCTTCCACTTACTGTTTCCATTTATTTTTACACTTATTGTTTACTTTTTAAAAAGGTCTGGTTGAGGAATGGTTGCTGTAAGGTTGGCATTTTCAGAACATGAGCAGAAATTGCTTCAGTGATATTGCCAACATTGCCTTCTCACTCTTTTATCAATTTGTCTTGGAATTGTCTGTTGGCAGTTTTGCTGTCATACAAAATCTGTGTGCGGTTAGGTTCAGAAAATAGGAGTGAAAACCAGCTCTAGATACTGACCCACTGGGTAGTTACAAAACAAGTTTTGTCTTCTTTCTTATTCTTACCTGTAGTAAAAGTGGTATATCACAATGAGACCCTAAAGACMTTTTTTTTCCCCAATAATTACAAAAATCCGTTGATGTAATGAAATCTAAGCTCTTTCCTTGCTTATTTTAATGTCTCATGATTTGCCTTATTTTCACTATAGATGTTTTTACTACAGAGATATGGATCGTTTCTCTGTGTCATTCTTGATGTAAACTGTCCTTTAGCCTCATAACAGAGTTGTGAAATGCCTCATTCAGCAATTATTGCTTACTTTATCCTTCTACTGTACAATCTGAGCCCGATAAGTATCATTTAGATTCATGTTAGAAATGCATCAGTTAGAGTTTTCATTTTGAAATCAAAATATGTTCATAACGTGTTTTTTGATTCCATCTAGATGCCTTTCTTTAAGCTGAATTTTTAATGCCTCTTATTTCTCTCTCTCTCTCTCTCTCTCTCTCTCTCTCTTGAAAAGGTAATTTTCACAGATTTTAAAGTTGTGAATGTTTTAGCAGTGTGCAACATGCCCTTTGAGATCAGATTGCCCGAATTTACAAAGAATAACAGACCTCATGCGAGGTACGGTAGGATTTTTACATGTTTATAGTCTTGTTATATTTCTTAAGCTTTTCTTTTTTTTGTCCTAGTTTTACCTTTTGATTCTTTAAATTTTGTTTTCTAGTTATGAACCAGAACTTCATCCTGCGGTTTGTTACAGAATAAAAACACTCAGAGCTACATTACAGATTTTTTCAACAGGCAGTATCACAGTTACAGGTATTTTCATGACAAAATAAATATTTAACTTGTTGGGAATATTTAACTTTATGGTCAGTTATCTTGGGAAAGGAGGCCTTTTAAACAGTCAAAAGATATATTTGAGATTTAGTTTCCTAGTGCTAGAATCTAATTTGTTTTGGAGTGGAGGTATCCGAATAGTTGTAGGGCAGGCATATGGAAAACGTCATTACTGGTAKTCAAAAAAAGAATTGTTTTAATAAGAATGTCAATAGTCATTTTTAATAAAAAGAATAGTGAGAAATTATTTGAGAATGCAAGGTATTTAGCRAAATATTTAACTATTATTTAATTATTATTAAACTAATATAACTATTATTTAACTATTATTWTTTGATTATTTAGTTAAATATTGTAACAATTGGAATTTGCTACCTGTTTTTCATCTGTGTAATGCTGCAAACTACTGCCTGTAGCACCAGAAAGTCCATTAGAAATACATACTTGTAAAGTCTGAAAGGGCAGGCAGGGTCCTATTCTATTTCATTTGTTTTTCTGATTAAGCCTTATGACTAAAAGCAACACTTGCATAAAAAAAACATACCCGATAAGGCTATTTATGCCTTCGGAAGCCATTTTTTAGTACATCTCTATAATTGAAAGAAGCGAAGTAAAGAGGTGAGGTAAAAAGAAAACTGACTTCAGAGATGCTAAAGCACACGAGTAATTGCTGTTTTGATTTATCTGCATCGCCAAACAAATGCAAGATTGTTTTTCAGGCATGTTATTGCTCAGTCATTTGCAACTTTAATTGTGCATTTCAGGAAAATGATGTAGTGTCCTTAGAAAGCACTGCTGGTTCATTCTTCCCTTTTTTTTTTTTCTCCCCACACATTCATAGATCACGTTAGACAACTATCAGATGCTTCAGCCCGAGAGAATAACCATTTGCTGGATTCCAGGTTTTGCCCTAAGACTGGTAGTAGAGTTTTTTCCAAAACTCAGACTATGAAGCAACAGACCATAGTTTTCAAACATATTGTTTTACTTGAAACATACTTAAATCCCTCATCATTTAACAATAGTTTCCTTTGTTAGYTGTGTAAAAGAAGAGTTAGAGGTGTCTGGGCTTTCAGAAATACAGATTCCCAAAGGAACAGCAGAAGTACCTCTGTTACTCGGCTTCTGCTTTCTTGTTTGGGCTGACTGTTTAATTCAGTAAATCAAAAATAATGCAAGYTGTTCTGAAATGACTGTATTATTTGTAGCTTGGCCATTGACCCATTTAGAGCATTTTACAGGTTCTACAGGTCTTTTTGTTATAAGAAAAGTGATCCGAGGAAAACTTCCCCAAATAGGGAGAAATGTGGGATAAGTGACTCTTRTCTACAGTATAAAATTGTGGTGGCCTCAAATAATAAGTTTATTTAAAATGTGCTGCTGTTGTTATTTACCAATACCCTGATTTTTCTCTTCCTACTGCTTTTTTTTCTTTCTTAATATGTCTCAGGGCCAAATGTAAAGGCTGTTGCCAGTGCTGTGGAACAGATTTACCCATTCGTGTTCGAAAGCAGGAAATAAATTTTATAATTCACCACTTAATGGTTAGGTTCCCTAACCAAGCACCTTTAAAGACTGCTGCACATTGGACTAAAAGCAAAAAGGAAAACTGGACCAACTCTAGCCGAGGAATACAGACTCTCTTACCRTTCATGGCCACAGTATAAACTCCAGTCCCTTTGGATTTTATTTTTAACAGTGCTGTATTGTAAAAACGGAAGTTTACAGGATATGAAATTGCTGCTTTTAAAAAGACATTCTATTTATTTTTGCAGTAATTTCTGTGTATTCATAAGCAAAGCTGTCACGATGTGCACTACCTTTAAAACATTTTTTTTTAGTTTGAGCTTGTGTTTTATTTGTGAATGGTCTTTTACATTTTTTGTATGTTGAATATTGGGCACCAAAGAAGCTGTAAAAGTTATCTTTTTCACCTGATGAATGTGCACAAATAAAACTTTGGAAAATATTTCTCTTCATACCTGTTCTGTTATATTCCTTTCCCTTTTTCTATTACAGTTAAAATTGTATAGCTGCAAATTAATTTGAAACAATGTAAGAATAGTCTTTTGCTGATACCTTCTGTTTCTATTTGTAGTATGTGTAAAAAATTTTGTGTGTGGGTTAGATTGAATTCTCTAGTAGTTAACGTATGTTTATCTGAGGGTGAAATTTGGTTTGTTCCCAGTTCTCTTAACTGCCTGCCAGGTTTCAAGCATTTCCTTGCTGTTACATGAAGAGAAGACATTTCTAAGTGTAAAGCCCTCCAAGTATTTCCCTGTTGATGGTGGGAAGCTTTTTATCAACTGAAGAAACTACTGTAGAAAAATCTACTGCCCCATCCATTACCCTACTGGATGCAGAAGGAGAAAAAGAAGCTGCATGTGCTTAAGGCTTCCAGAAAGTTGTTGCTGTCCTTCAGCTCTGGGAAGAYGGAGTGGCCACGCTAGTGCAGCGCCAGCCTTCTGGTGAAGAATTGACAGTTCTTCTCTACACTGTGGTTACTGCACGGTTTGTCTTGACAGGAACTGCCAGCAAGCACTGAGGCTTAGCTCGGGCATGTGTTGGGATTCACCTTGGACTTGGAAGCCAGTAGCCGTTCCCCTCAGTATGTGCACATTTGACGCAGAAGAGGTGAATGCTTAAAAGTAACTGCAACTGCTACTTTTAAAAAGATACAATAAATATGTATAAATGTATGTATGTCTTCTTTTCCCTATCTGGCTGGAAGGTAGCACTGCTCTTGGTGCTGTGGGTGATGCCCTGTCGCACAGGGTGGTTAAAATAGCGAACCATGAGCTGTTGCAATAGAGGAGGTCACTAGTGGTGGAATATTCTAAAGAAGTGGATGTGCAGCATAATGTACTGAATGTGTCGGAGGGGTGGTATAGAAGCTGGGGCCCTCCCTGTGACTTCATGCAGAAGTTGTGGAGAGGAAGGAATAATGTGGGAAATGTTCAATCAAACCTTGCAGAACCCCTTGAAAGAAGCAGCGGAAAGCAACAACTTGCCAAGAGCCTGAAGTGATGGATTCATTGAAAAATCCTTCTTAGATCAAAGGTAGGAAAAGAGGATTTATAATAGTGAAATATTAAATAGAATTCCATAGTCATGGAATTCTTTTTATAAAGAGTTCATCTCTTTTTCATCTTTATAAGCTGATGCAGGGGTACCTGGTTTAGATGCCTGCTGCAATGTGCGTAAAAGACATGGAGGCATTCGACACTAATGAGATGCATATGAAAAGCCACAAGGAGCAATGGACAAACCAGCATTTGGAAATGCTAATGTACTGTTATTACTGTAAATATAGATATATTGTGAGCTTTTCAAGAGCAAAGTGCAGACCCAAGCTGGTGAATGGCCGTTATAACCACAATGGGCGTCTTGGATTAGGCCTGCCTTTATTTTTGAGCACRTGGCAGAATACTTGAATGTCACTAGTGAAACTGGAACTTTTTCTGAAGTTCCTGAACTTTTTCTAAAGAAAAGTTTCTAAAGAGCTTTTTCTAAGAAGGGAGAGAAGCTGGGGTTGCTTTACTTTGCCAGCACCATCACTCAGTATGAAATCTGCCTGCTAGACCAAAAAAAAAGGCAATAAACAAGCTGCAATGTACGAAATGGGAAACACTTCTGATGAAGGGCTGTGTAGCTCCATGCTAACTTTAGTTCTCACGGAGGCCTTTTCTTGCAATCTGCAAAGGAGCCAAAAAGCACCGAGCTAAGCTTGCATGCAAGGTGGTGGTGAGAAAGAAAGTATGTGGAGCAAACCTTGCTGTGGWGCTTGTGCCTTCCTCCCCGTCTCCACCAAGCAGGCGTTGGTTTCTTGCCCTCCTGGGGCTCTTGGCCGCAGGCGGCTCTCGGCTGCCGCGGTGCCCGGCCAGCCCGCCCGGCCCCTTGCTCGCCGCGGCTGCTGGAATTCAGCTCRCCCCCTTCTCCATTTCCCAGCAAAGCTTTCCCAGGGCCGCGCTGCAGCACTCGCCCGGCAGGGAAAGGTCGATCCCCATTCTTTAGAGAGAGCAGCTCTATTTATGCATCCCGCTGAGCACTCCCTTTTTTGCAGTAGAACGATAGCTGTGATTCATATCTAACTTGCAAGTTGTCATAGCCACTAGATCCTTTCCTGCAGAACCCTCTCTAGCTCCATTTTGTCATTCTTGGGGTTGTAATTAGGCAGCCTAACCAGGGGAAATGTGCACTTACCCTTTCAGAATTGTATCCTGCTTTTTTCGGCTCTTCCCACCAATTTGTTAAGCCATCCAAGTTGTCCCCGTTTGGTTTTGCCAGCAAGTTTACTAGCRTGTTCTGTTCTGTAATCCAGGCTACTAATGAAGATACTGAATAATGCGAGACCTGGGACAAATCAGCCTCAACCACCTGGGGCCTGATTTGTAAGACATATGCATCCCCTTTTCCCTTTGTACCTTTATGGTCAATGCGTCGACTTTGCTGTAAGAGGCCAGTAGAATTAGGACCAAGTCTGCAATGTTATGAGTTAAAAAAAAAAAAAAAAAATCACTACTGAAGCATCGATGTCTTTTGAAGACACCTGAGCCCATTAGGGTCTCTGTATTAAACCAGTATGGGAACTATACCTTCTTCAGAAAGATGCTATTTTTACTTTTTATTCATGTTTCTGCAAGAAGYATTTGGTATTGGGGGAAGTTTGAAAAGTTGGTAGACAAATTCTGCTGTAATTTTTGAGAGTCAAATTTATTTTTTTGTGAGAACACGTACAGGTTTCATTAACTGTTTTGCAATAGATTTTTTTGGAAGTTGTGGCAATCATCTAGCATAAACATGAAGCAGACACAGGCTTCTGCAGACAGCAAGGGAAAAAATGAGAAAGATAYTAACATGTAGAAACCTAGAAAAAGGCTGGGTTCAAGCTTGCTTTTTAACAAGAAGATTTTACAAGTTGTCTAGATTTGGTGGTGGATTATACTCATTTTGTAAAAAGAAAATATCTCTGATCATAATAATAATTAAAAAAAAACACACTTGGAAGGCCTTATCTGCAGCCCTTTGCTGGTGATTGAGAAGAGAAAAATGAATTGGATCTTGTGCTTTTCTTAAGCGAATGCTTAGCAGGCTTGATAACCGCGAGGCAAAGCTTGGCACTGACAAGCTGACAACATGTCCCATACTTTATTTCAGTTTCAATAATAGAATGTGTTGTTTTCTCTAGCAATAAGGCATTGATATGCAAAACTCCTCTTTGCTTGGGCATACTATAGTTAGCAAAAAAATCAGACAGTGTATCACAGAGAGAGTTGATCCCAAGAGTGCAAAAATTGATTCTGAATGGAGCGTTATAAAGCTTAAAAGAAAAAAAAAAAAAAAAAAAGTAAATTTCGGGCCACTTTCTGTTTTTTGAATTGTGACTACCTCCAAAATGCACATGGAAATTTCAAAATATCAATTTAAAAAAAAAAATCACCTGTATTGAAAAAGAGCTGCCTTTTTCCCCCTCATTGCTACAGTGAATTTGTGACCTCAACTCCTATTGCTTTTCCAAAAGGCCTCCCATTCTACCATGTGCCTTCCTCATCCACGCTTCTCTCCCACYGCTCCAGACCCTCCCCTTCTCCAGCTCTCTCCCTTCCCTGCTGCAATGTTATTTTTCCAGGGCTGAGCACTACTGCTTTTTTTTYCCATACTTTTTGTGGTGTTTTTTAAAAGTTGTATGAATACTCCTTGCAAATTCCTGGTGCTGCAGCCTTGTGTTTCTGGTGGGGTCAGRGCAGTGCTAAGGGGAATGCTACAGGGGGTCTATCCCAAACAAGAGCAAAGGGATTTTTTATTATGTTCTCTTGTGGTTGATATCAGAACTGTGCAGCTCATAACTCTAAGCACATCTTCAATTTTCTTGAAGATTTCAAATTAATCAAGACCAAACAGAAGGGACTTCAAGGGAAAAAAAAAATCTATCAAAAGAGGAAAGCATCCCAGATCAAGGGTGGAATTTTAATTTGAGGTGGCAGTTCAGCAGATTCCCTATGACTTCGTTAATCCTCTAGGGAACAAGAACAAAAGATCTGTGTTTTTTTCTTCTGAGGTGACCTTAAGTCTGAGTTGTGYGCAGCTCAGGTACACAGCCCTGCCATCTCTGTGTCCTGCGTGTGCTTGGTCTCTTATTGCTTCTTACAAAACATGCTGAAGAGGCTCATATGTACCTTTATCAAAAAAGAAATGCAGAATTTTTACTTAAGTCTTGGTATTTTGTGGATGCCCAAAAGGTTATATTGCTGAGCCCTCTGCACGCCATCATAAGCGTTCTTGAAAACTGGCCCAGGCTTGTGCCATTCATGAGGTTATCATGAGGGTTGATCACTCTAGGATCAGAACACAAGAAATAAGGCATCCATAAACAAACCAGTTAGCCAGCTGCTTGTAAATTTGGCGCAAAACACAAATCTCATGTCATCTAAAGCAAGGAAAGCCCTGAAAGAGTTTTGTCTAKGGTTTCCCTTGTCTTAGGGGACACAGGATCTGCACAGATAAAAGTCCTCCATTGCGATGACCACTTACCTGACTTCTTAAGAGATGTCTGTCAGATAGATTCAAATACCCTAAAAGCTTATGATACAGCAAAACTATAGTACTGATCTGATTAGCAAGACCCTGCTCTGAGGTAGCTAAACTTCATGCCCTTAGCTTCAATACGTCCTTTTCAGATTTTACTTATCTTACAAGTAATGTTCTCAAGCAAATTTTACAGTGTCCGTGTCTATGAGTGTGACAATATTGGAATCTGATTGAGACTGACCTAATCTGGTGAACGCTTTGCCTACATGAGTGAGTTCCCGTCCCTCTAGTGCAGAACAGTCAGATGGTTTTAATGCCATGAGACAGCAGATAAACTGGGACCAGGTGTCTAGTTCAAAGTAGTATCTGCACTCCAGCTGACACCATCAATCTTGGTTCCTCAGTTAAACGCTGCAAGAAATGCAGCTCTATAGCTGCTGAGACAGAAAGCTTTTAAAGACTCTTCTCTCTCCTTTCCTTTCCTTTCCTTTCCTTTCCTTTCCTTTCCTTTCCTTTCCTTTCCTTTCCTTTCCTTTCCTTTCCTTTCCTTTCCTTTCCTTTCCTTNCCTTTCCTTTCCTTTCCTTTCCTTTCCTTTCCTTTCCTTTCCTTTCCTTTCCTTTCCTTTCCTTTCCTTTCCTTTCCTTTCCTTTCCTTTCCTTTTTCCTTTCCTTTCCAGATTCTTTGGTCATTTATTTATCTTCTAAAAATATTTATCTATTGATCACTCTGTTACCAAAACATATTCCCATTTTAGAAAAAAATAGAGTAAATAGTTGTTTTTAGTGAATGGTAAAGACAACCCTTTATAGAGGCTTGTTAAGTGTTTGGGACACACTTGCTAAGCAATACCCAGAGTCACTTAGAGTCATTTAGCTATGTCTTGCAATGATTAAATGTTTCAGAAATTCCTTTGCACTGTCCTGTSTCATGTAAATCTTACTTTCTGAATCCAGAATTCAAAGTCTGGTGTGGCCTATGTTGAGCAATAAAATTATTTTGAAGTCAACTCCGGTTGTTCCAGCTTCCAAATTTGCTGGATGGGGAAGCCAAAGAAATCTTATCTCCTCTTCTGTAGGGCTACCCTCAGGCTAAAATAGCTGATGATGTGACTGTTCCCACATTCAAAAAATTGACTGTTTGATATCTTTGGAGTATAACCTAGGTCACTGACTCCTGACCCCTGGCATCTCAGGAAATCACATGTAAAATTTCCTTTTGTAAACTGAACATGCTCTGTATTAAAACTATTCAAGTTCTAGTAAGACGCTTTGTCTTGTTAAGTTCAAGTCTAAATCCATTCATTCATAAATGGTTCATAGCCAGTTGTTCTGTGCTACTATCAACCTGTATCTTCCATGGTTGTCTATTTTTTTCTCCATGGTGTTGATTTCCCTAATGACTTAAAGAGCTGTTCACCCTTTCAGACTCCTTTTTTCCTAGGCTAAAAAGATCTCTCTTCTCCAGTCCCCTGCTGAGAGACGTGCTTTTCATTCTCCTTGGCATCCCAGTAGTTCTTGTTCCCCCTCTTCCAGTAAGAACTCTTGTCTGAATAAGGGTAACTAAACTAGGGGACAGATTTCTGGTCTCCATTCACCGCCTGTTTTTRAGAGGTGAGTAAATTCATGGGAGGTGAGAGATTCTGGCTTAAAAATAGACTGAGCCTGCTGTTCTAGTAAGTTTTTAAAAACTACAACAATGTTTAATATTGTCTGTAAACTGCCCCGGAAGAAGCTCTACTAAAGAATGATAGGGGGAATATCTTGTGCATAATAAAGGTAGTGAGTGTCCCATCACAGTGTGAGCATCACTGAACATTTTTTGCACCAGTCTGTGTGCGCAGGCCGCCTTGGCCACCCTCGGCTCTAGTAGAACTGCTCCTTCTCCCTCTGGGCAGCTCCCAATGGCACCAGTTTCTCTCTGCACTGGTTCACCCAGCACAAGGGCGTCTTCACGTATTTCCTGAAGGAGAAGAAAACATTTGTCATTTAATACGCAGGAATGAGTGTTTTTCCTGCTAGATATGGAGCTGGCAGTAGAGCCCAAGCCAACTGCATCCCCATGGGGTTCCTTGGCACTCGCCAGTGCCGGCCTGGAGCCTTCTTCCTTTCCCCACAAGATGGCAGGTTCAGCCAGGCCCTTCCCGGCCCCGGCACCATCCTGGCTTCAGCTTCCTGAGCTCACTGCAACCTTTGGCTTTGTGCATTCTTATTGCTATGATTATTTTACTATTATGAACTCTTATTACTATTATTATTTCAAGATTAGGGAGGAAAGGAAGAGCTGGCCTAAGGCTTCATCACAAATCTGCGTTTCTCCGCGTGTTTAGCAGCAATCGCCCCACCGTGTTACAAGGGAGATCAGAGACCTCCAGGGCACAAAGTGCAGCAATCCTCCTTTGCTGCAGCAGAATTAACTCCAGGGCTTTTTGCAGCAGAAAAAAAAAATTAATTTTTCCTACCCCATAAGCAAACTCCTTTAAGCCTGGCAGGGTTGCAATACGCCCTTTACAAAAATCTTATGTGATAATCAAAAAATCCCAAATATGGGATGACCCATCACAGTAGGCTGTTTCCAGGCTAATTAGCTTCACTATCAGAAAGTGTGTGTCTTATTATCACTTGAGTATTTCTCCCTGGGTCTTCAAGCCTGCTCCCTGGGTGCAATTTGTCCTGCTGTCCGGCAGGGATGGAGTGAAAGAGGCTGYGCTGCCTGCTCAGGTGTGAGATCTGCTGGTTAACCAGGAACACTGCAGTGAACCCCAGGAAAATCTGTTCACCAGATTCATTGCCCTTGTCCCACCCTTGTGAGACCACCCGAAGAAGCAAACTGCTTGTTCAGAGTGGATCTTCGGACATATCAGAAGCACTCCTTGTTTTACAGACTCTTTTAGTCTCTGTCTTAGTCTTAATCTAAGACTTAGTCAGTCTTATTCTTTAGTCTCTTTTTTTATGGCCAGAAATAGCTGGAAAGGAACTGAGCAGTAGCACACTTTTAATAAAAATTGCCAGTTAATTTACGGCAATGAAACCTGCATTTGGAGATTGTGAGTACCTGGCATATACTGAAGGAGTGTTAAATTTTATTCTCAAATTTGATGTTCTACCCTTACTGAAGATATGTAATTCCAAGGACTACTGTGCTTCAGAGGGTTGGGAAAGGACAGATGGAGGCAAGTCACACAAAAACAGTCACATTGGGCCATATTAAAGGAAAAGGGACTGGGGCCATTTACATCATCAAATATACATCTGTCTCTCTCATTGCTGTTACATGCTATTTGTTTGAAGAGGTGGGGTCACAAAACATATTCTGGAAGAACCTTATTTGGGTATGATCTCTTATAGAGCCACAAGACTCAGGAAACACACTAACCTGGCTTCATATACTTAACAGTGACAATTTTGAGATTTTGSGTCTGCTCTTCACCACCTTAATGTTTGCTTGGCCACCAAGATCAGCCCTTGAAGGCTGAAGCTTTGAGAGAGTCTGTTTCTTCCCAGGGGAAAAAAAAAGTCACATCTTTTTTCTTTTTTTCTTTTTTTTCTTCCTTTTTTAAATGTGCTTCTGGCACCACTTGGATGCAATTACATTCTTTACTTACTGTTTAGCTAGTTCCATGGATATTTGCTCCAAAGAGCATCCTTTCGTCTCTGGTATAAATACAATAACAAAAGCCAGGGACGCCAGGCTCATTATTGTGTAAATGAAACACACCCAGGACAAGCCAATAAGGTCTATGAAAGAAGAAAACATATTTATTATTTTCAAATATTGCAAGAAGATTTATGTAGCTATCTATCTATCTATCTATCTATCTATAGATACAGTTTCTAGTGCACAGGAGCAATCAGCGCGAATTTAGCCTATTATTCTTGGCCCTCTTACCTGGCTTAGCTATAATCTGAAAAAGAAGAGTGCTTTTGCTTTTTCAAATATTCATGAAGAAAGAAAACTGAGGAGTCCATATTSGACCATTTAGCATAAGCCTATTGATTTATTAAGCCTGCTGTCACTTTGGTTTAAAACAGTGAGCAACAGTTGTTACTAGTTTGTGAGAAGGCACGGGCAGCCACAAACTGCTCAAAATTCCACCTGTGTCTGTTTTTGTCGCAAATTCTTTCATAGAAAGAAAAAGAAAAGAAAATAGCATTTTTTGCACTGTTCTAGTTGTCTGCAGTTAATCTTTTCAACCTGTCAGTCCCAGCATTTCTTTGCAGTGGGACTGCAGACAGGGATCAAGGAGTTAACTCCTAAAGAGTCCAACCAAGAATTATTTTTCTTTTGATACCACAATCCAGGGACAGAGGGTGTCGCCAGGCTGAAGGGAAAGGCGCTGCAGCCACAGCACATGCCTCAGGGTGGGATATGCACAAAACTGACAGGCTACTGCAATCCTGTAGCCTCCTCCCCTGCTAAATCTGAGCCAGACAGTTGAGGCATTTGCCAATTGTGTCATGTGCTGAAAACTGCAGCTGAAGCTGCTATTCCAGCCAGTATCTTCTGCATCAGATACCTAAGCCCAGGTCCTGCTGGCTTCAGTGAGATCAGCATATATTTGTTTGAAGAGAGAATTCCAAATTAAGCCTTCTGATTTCTTACATATTTGCTCATAGTTACACTTGCACAAATACAGGTTAGATCCAGCTAAGGCAAAGAGTTCCTGTGGATTTGCATTCMTTGTGGCCAAGAACAAAACTATGGCTGTGAAGGACTATTCCAACACTGGTCCAAGGACTTGAACAAGTTTTGGCACTTAGTGGGGAAYTGACTTTGTCCAAAATTTTGTGCTCACATCTGGCAGAACCAAATCAACCTCTGAACTCTTTGAGGGTCTGCTAGTAATTGCTTGCCTGATTCTGGGTCTGTTGGAGAGTAATGTGTTGCCTGAAGTTTTAGCAATAGTAGTTCTGTTGGAAAGATGTACTATTCTCACTAGGAGAACATCAACTTGGAGTGAACAAGAGAGGACTTACCAGTTACAGTCAAAAATGTCAAGGAGATGACCAGATTAATACCCCAGTTCATGCTAGATGTCAAAGCCATGGCCCGTCCTCTGATCCCACCAGGGAAAATTTCACTCAGGACCAGCCAAGACACTGAAATGGAAGAAAACAATAAAAAGAAGACTGTATATTTGAAAGCACGGTTTCTCTTGCTAGAAATTTGGAAGTCTGTAAATTCAGATGAATCTGTCTGAAAGAATAAGGTGGTTTTCAGAGCTGTGAGGCTGGTCTGTGCTCCAAAAGCAGAACACACCACGCTCAGCAGCAGGCTGGGATGTCCCATCTGGTTGCTCTACCAGTGGAACCGCAGTGGCACCACAAGRCAGAGCTGGGAGCTGGGTCTTCCAGCACTCCTCTAGCTGTGGAAATATGGAAGARCGCGGGGAAGCTTTGACAGCACATGCGCGTATGAAAGGGAGCTCTGACTAAGTATTACTCTCAAGTGACATAATRTTAATGGAACTGGGGCAGCAAACCAAAGTAATCTGCAGCTTCAGAGCAGCTCTATGTGTTTATGCCGCCTTATAAATCAGCCTGCCAAGCTGAAGCACGTTTGCCTTTCCAGCTCTGAGCTGCACGGAGTTAGACTGCTGGAGTTTAAAGGAAGACAGAGGTCCTGATCTTTGGCTGCTTCATCCCACACCATGATACAAGTGATCTCAGCAYCGGTGCTTCTAGCCCAGAATAACAAATTCAGTCATGTAGACCTGGTGGGGTTACCTCCTTGACAGCAAAAGCAAAAAAAAAATATATTAAAAAGAGATTCTGGATTCCTGAGTCTTGATGGTCTTTGACTATTTATTTATTTATTTGTTTGTTCATAAGCAAGAGGGATTAGCACAGGTTGCTGTAGCTTACGGAGAGGCCATGCGTTAGCCAATGACCACAACTGCTGCATGTGGATGAACTGTATCTTCAGATCCTCAGTCATGGCCATACTAAGTTTGGTCTCGTGTGGGGTGCTTTCTACAAACTAGGAAATGGAAATTTTCCCAAGACACCTACTTTCGACATTCTTAAAGTTACATTTTAAAAATAGAATACTGAGAGTCTGTGTGTTTCACACACAGACATTTCTAGGGTGCCCGTTCAACAGTACTAATAAAGATGTAAAAGAAAATATACTGCATGGAAGGACAGTATAAAGGAGCAATTGAAAAGAAAAAAAAAACTGAATCTTGTGTTAACAGAGGAGACTAAGCAAATTCTACTCTAGATCTCTTCGTACCATAGATTTAATTTAGCAGTGTTTTGGAGCCCACATAGATATTCCTTTAAAAAAAATGAAAAGAAAAATATGATGAGCTTTACTCCCACACTGGGAGTGGCCTGGAAAAGTGGAGAACTTATTCCAGAAGTAGGAAAGAGAACCAAGACCGAAATGCATAGCAGCCTAAATCTGTTATGCACAATCAAATGGCACACAATACAAAGCATATTTAATAGTAGCTGTAGAGAGACCTCTTTTTTTTGCCGACCTGAATCATAGCAAAATTTAATACATTTACTGCTGATAAGGCAAAATTTGTTCTAAATAAATGCTTAGACATGCTCTGTAACATCTCTACATATGGGGAAAAAATGAGGTGGGGGGAAAAAAAGTAAGATTATTGGCTTCTAAAGCAGATACGTTATTTTTCAYCACCAGGCCAGCTAGTATTGCTCCTGAGGAAAAGCAGGCCTTGGCAGTGCAGTGGAAGCTCATTATGGTGCTTTGTCCCYCTGCAGCGGCAGGGCCGTCGAAGCCTAAATCGTTAGTCACAGGCGATATAACATGTCACAACAGGAAGCACTAGCCAAATGCAAAGCAACGAAAGTTAGCGAGACGCAAAGAAACCCTTTTTTTAGCAGTCCCTAAATAGCCTGCGGAATTCATCACTGTAGGACAGCATTACAGCCAGGAGCTGAGAGGCCCTGCAAAAATGACTATACACCACAACTGGCAAAGAGAATATTCACAGTCACATTAGACAGGATTAAAAATGAAGTCTGAAAGAATTCAAAACACTCTCTTGAGGGCATAAACCAACGTACAGATGACAGGATTAGGAATACTATTTTCTCTCTGAGCACTTTGTTCTGTATCTGCTTATGTGAGATTTTTCYTGCATTCAGGTGGTTGCCAGCAGCTGCTCAGAGAGGCGCTGGGCTCGATGGATCGTGTCCTGCTCAGCGACACGGCAGCTCTGCTGCACTGGGCAAGCCCTGAGCTGGGGGAGTTTCGCAGCGTTAGGAGCCCTGGGCACTGCTGTGTCGTGTCCACGAGCACGGGCACTGCAGGAGCTCCAGTGCCACGCACTTTTCTGAGGACAGACAGGCTCTTTCAGGCTAAATGTAATTAGTTTGGAAGTACAAGAAATTGGTTTTTTTTTTTCTGTTCAGAAATCAAAATACTTGAGCGTCTGCATCAGCCACAACCGTGCTTAGCTACTTTTATTTCAACCAGCTATTTAAATTCAGAAAGATCCCTCCAATCTGCCAGATCTGCCCTTCGTGTTTGAACAAGGCAGCTGCTTCCTTTGGCTTACCCTGACCTCTGCTTTGTTGGCAAGGAGTAGATAGGTTGTTTTTTTCCCCTCCATGGGAGAAATAGCAGTTGTAGAAACCTGTCGCTTACTGCAGTGTGTTTGTCCCTTTCTCCAAGCTGAAGCAGTGATAAGCAACAATTCTTTGCTTTTAGCACCTGTCTGGGATGGTTTTTACTGTCTGTACCTTTGCCAAAAAGCAGCAGCTGCTCCAGGTGCAGAGGGGATGTAGCTTTCTCTTGGGAAGCCAGTAACTGGGTTCTCGCTCCCATTCACAACGATTGCTGCTGCCTTTGAGTGTGCACAGAGCAGGGCAGAAATTTAGCCGTCAGCCTCCCAGAGWCACTGCAAAGCAAACTGGGGTTCTACCTTCACCAGCCTAAGACACTAAGACACTCCATCTGCTACATAACCTAACCTTATTTCCAACTGGTGCTATGGTAGTAATCCTCTTGCACGCACAACACTTTTTGACAACTACTTTGGCAGTCCTTGGCTGGTGTTTATGGAATGGATGAGAAGAGAGTTCATGCTTCCCARTCCAAATGTGGGGAAGACATGAGGCTAAGAGCCTCCCGAGATCCTGCTGGATTTGCTCCTGCAGCGGCTGCAGGTAACTCTCACCTTTGATCACTTGGAATAACTAGTATGTTGACAATGGTTGAAAATAAATGTACAGCTGAATATTGTATTATGGCAAAACRCAGAGAAAAGAACACCCACTGTGTATGCAGATGCAGAATTTAATTCAAATAAAATATCACACTTCACGGGAAGACTTAAGTGTTTCAGTGAGCACCACGGTTGGTCTGTGTGATGCTGACTGCTAGGCTGAAATTCCTTGCCCCAGTAGGAAGAACAGAGGGTTTGGAGACGCTGGCAACCACTTGACCAGGCTGTTGACACTGATCTAAGCAACATCAGAGGGGCTGTAAAGCCACAAGACAGTAACTGTGCAAGGCTTTASCTGTCCTCATTTAGACTGAATAAATTTCATACTGGAGCACAGTGCAGAGATTACATTTTAAATCATTGTTTCTTTTGCAATTTGCCTGGTAGCTCATGAGAAAGAAAAAAATCTTGATTTAATGTTGAGCAGAACAAGTTCAAAATACACAAAGACACTCTGTTATATTGGCTACAACATATTCTGCATCAGTATTCTTGTAGAAATGGAAGAGCCAAGGTCTTACCATAGTAACACAAAACTTCAAAAGGAGAATATTAAAATAAGGGTGGTTGTTATAAGGATAAATGCTCTAGAGGGCGTATGGAGAATGTTTAACTTATCTGATTGGAGACTTAAAATATATATACAACCAAATAAAACAAATAAAACAAATAGAAATAGCTCAGCACAGTTAAACAACTAAGTGAAACAAGCTGTTATAAACAGAAAAATTCCTTACCCAAAAAGGTGTGTGCTGTGTCCAAACAAAGAAARTAGAACTTAGATCCTGATTTTTTTTTGGCAAAACCATAACCAGGAGGGCAGATACTTTGAAAACGTATGGGCTGAGAGCACTACRTGCCAGAAGCGGGTCATAGGAGAAAAGTATGGGTATGCTCTTTACTTCAGTGTTCACTCTGATACGTCTAAGTGTTTTCCAAAGCAGAGCTTGAATTTATGAAGGTCYGGTCGTGAAGGACTATTTCTAACTGCAGTATAAGGAAGCAGAAGGACAAAGCCAGTATTCACAATGGAAGGAGATTACTAGATTTGCTCAGAATCTGGCCAGATGATTCAGGAAAGGGAGGTGAGTGGATGTGCAAAATTCACTGAAGACACAAAGTTATTCAAGTCAACAACAATGAAAAAAGGATCACAACAGGCCGCAACAGAATCTGAAAGTGCTTTGATAAGATGACGCATAAAATTCATTAAAAATAAAAGCAAAGTACTGCATAAAAGGGAAACCGCCTCCAGGACCCATTCCCAGATGCCTTCTTTACTCCACGGATGAAGCCTTTGAGGATGTTTAGAGACACTATCAGCTCATTAGAGGCAGAGGTTGTGCTGCAAATAAAGGCAAATAAAGAAAGGAGGGCCAAGGAGGACAGAGAGCATTCCTGCACCCCTCTGCATTTCTCTGYGCATACGTGAAAAGATCTGTCAAGGGCTAACAAATACAACAACAGAGATAACCCCCCCAATGTTCTTCTCCAATTCCCTAAACTGTAGATAGCCAAAAGGCCGTGCTGAGAGTACTGCATGTGCCCTTCTCGGGTATTTTCCCTAAGCATCTGTTCCTGGCTGTTCTCAGTGATGGGGTAACAGATGGATTGTGTGGCCCTTTGCTGTGAGCCTGTGCGGACAATTTAACAAGCTTTATATTCAGGCTAAAAGCAAAGAGATGCCTGCAGCCCTTGTGTGACTTTTCCCTGATTTCAGCCATACAGTTAAAAAAAAGGGGGTGAAAAAAAGAAGAGGGTGCAAACTTTGATCAGAGAAGCAGAAAACGTGAACATCTGAGAAATACTGGGGTCTTGAAGGTCCCCTGTGAAAGTAAGGTACATGAATGAAAAACGTCCTTGTTTTGACCCCATTCCTGCCAGGAGGCAGAAGCA